AGGCAAGGCAAAGGGACAGGGCAAGGGACAGGGCAAGGGCAAGCAGAACCTGTCGATGGGGGATATACAGGGACAAGAATTCGGAACGGGCGATGCAGCGCTGTACGACGATGATTCAGACATGGATCCCGATTTGGAGCTAGAAGAGTCCGAGTCCGAGTCCGAGTCCGAGTCCGAGGATGTGGACGGTGCATCAGCAAACGCATCCGAGCGCACTCCTCTCTCCACCTCTCGCTCTCGTTCCAAAAAAGTCGAAAAGAAAAAGAAAGGCATGGGCTTCAAATTGGATGCTTTCAATATGAAGAATGAAATGTCTCGAGGAAAGTTTGATGAGGAGGGAAATTATATTGCCAAAGCTACGGATCCGCATGCTGAGCATGACGAGTGGCTCAAGGGCAACTACAGCAGGGGCGCTATAGCCAGAGCCAAAGAAGCCCAGGCGAAGCGAATGGAGGAGCAAGAGGCGTCAGTCGGACCAGGGGGTGGGGAGGAGCAGATTGGCAAAGACTTGGTGGATTGTAGGATGAAGTTGGCGGCATTTTTGCAAAAGGGCGAGTCGGTGCTCGAAGCGCTGGGCAGATTGGGCAAGCTAGCCAAATCAGCCAAAAGGTCCAACACAAATACCAAAAGAGCAGACAAGGTCTTCGACCCCACCCCCTCCACCTCCGCCACGCAGAACGGCAACGCCTTAGACTCGACCAGCAGCACAGCGCAGGATATTGCTCGCAAAGAAGTAGAGATGATCTCTTCGCTCTCCAATGCGCTCATGGCGCGCTACGGCGTCATCAACATTTACGAAGAGACGTACGAAGAGATGCTGCGGCATGTCAAAAGGTCGCAAAGGGTCTCGCAAGATTGGGATCCCGCGCGCGATCGAGCTCGAGATGCACAAGTCTCGAGTATGGACGTCGCAAACACTTTCGAAAGCTCTCGATCGGATTCAGATCAATTCATCTACAAATGGAGCGCCTCGTATCTATCCGAGGTCGAAGGATCGCACTCGCGATCCGACGCCAACTCGCACGTCTCCTCGAAAGAGCAAGAGACGTTCGGCCCTTTTACGCTCAAAGAATTGCGCTCGTGGCAACAAGGCGGTTATTTCGGTGCTGGTGGAGAACGAATCGTCTTGCGTCGTGCCGGAAGCGATAGCGCAGCGAATGAGGAGCAAGCGTGGAAAAGCTGGTCAGAGATTGTGGGATAGATGAACTTTCTGGGGGTTGTACCAAGGTCCGTTTCAGCTGCCTTGGCTACTCGTCCAAAAGGCCCACTGGCAACACGCGGACACGATCACAGCAATCGAAAAAGGCAAAATCAACTCTGTTCAGTCGCCGTCCTGAGCTGTATCTCGATCAGGTCTCTCAATGACGCTTAGTCGCTGTCGCCATGAATTGAGGACCTCACCGAGTTTCTGAATCTCAGCGTCAATACACG